GTAATACTTGACGACGCCTGGAGTTGCCGGCCGACAAAGCCCTTCATCTTCATCACCATGGCACCATGCCATGCTTGTCCATGAGGAGGTGGCCGGTGCTTAGGTTCGGAGGAGACAATACCCGACAGTCAGGGATGAAGAATACGACGGTCGGGGTGGATATCGCAGCACCTAGGGATAGAGGATGTAGTGTCCGGTGGTTAGATTCGTGTCGCCCAACCACGTGGACGATGGATCTGGGACTGGCGGTCAAGGGATAGCCTCAGTCGCCACACGAGGATCAAGGAGGCGGTGCCTAGAGTTCAGATCCATGTCCCCCGACCTCATGGAGGCCAATTCCGACGGCTAGCGGTCATGGGAAAGAGGCCATGATGACCTGCAGTCGAGAGAGAGCGGCTATGGCGACCAGCGATTAGAGTAGCATCCGGTTGGGCCGAAGGGGAAGGAGGACTCACGGGAGGTGGCACCCATCGGTCGAAGGCGCATCTAACTAGGCCGAGAGGGAAGGAGGGCTCGTAGGATGCGGTGCCCGTTAGTCGGAGGCGCATCCGACAGGGATAAAGGCAAGGGACCCGGGGAAGACAGCGCCCAGCGGTTGGAGGAGTCGCCAGGTGCTCGTCGGTCGGAGGAGGGGACGATGCCCAACAATCGTTGCTGCATCTGGCCACAGTCAGTCGAAGGGGGAGGAAGCGCCCGACGCTCATCGGTTGGAGGGGGAGGCAGTGTCCAGCAACCATTACCACATCCGGCCGCAGTTGGTCGAAGAGGGAGGCACGTCTGGGTGGAAGAATAGAAAGAGAGAGAGAGGAGTAGAGGAGTGAGAAAGAAGAAGAGGATAAGGAGAAGCTTCGGAGCCGGGAAGAGAATGGAAAAAAAGCGATTTTTTTTGTCATCTTTGATGGGCACACAAATTTTACACATGTCACAGGTGAGATACCTCGCATCTATGTTGGGCTGGAACAATAAGGACCATCACAGATATTTTGCCACCTGTGACGGGCCAAAATTTGCACCCGACAAAGGTAGACCTATGTCGAGTGCAAATTCCAACCCATCACACGTGACCAAATACCTGTGATGGGCCTCAGCCGATGGCCTCACCTGTTATGACCTTCTGATGGACCATATGTGATGTGCACTTCAGCATGTCACTGGTGGGCCATCACAGGTGGGCCGATCTAGCGTAGTGAATATTCCAGGGCTTAGTAGGTCAGCTGTACTGCTGTACTGATCTGAGGTAATTAAATAAGGTAATTGATCGAACCAGTCAAACCCTCTCCCAAGTGCCACCGTAGAGAACAACGGTGTTCCAGCGACCTTTCGGCAACAGTGGTTCAGGTTGAACAGCAGTGGTCACTAATAGAAAAAAACATTTTTCTAGGCGGACAAAATCGGTCTTTCTAGTCGGACGGCCGGTCCGCCTGTACGAGAAGGACTGAGAAAATGAAATACTTTCAAACCATTTCAAGCTCCAACTCTGCTCCAACTCTGCTGCATGTAATATTACATCTATACAGAAGATATGTTGCACCTATTCTTCACATATTCATTTGCCACACAATGCTGGAGTTATGTGGGGATACAGATATGGAATTTATGAACATGGTGATTTCAGCAAAACAGAGCTTTGGGTTCCCGTTCTTCATTGAAGTCTTTGCAATCTCAATCTGGAACATTTAGTAAATCAGAAATGATTTGATCTTCAACAGCATTGCACCGGGCTTCAACCTGTGTAAATGTCGTTTCTGGGAGGATTTTACTCTACTTTTGTTTAGGGTAAAGGAGCAAGATAGACTCTTTTGGCAATCATGGATTGACAATTTGTAAATTTCACTTCCCCCTTCGTTTTTTTATAGTCTTCTGTAAATATTACTCTATCTCTATGATATTTTGCAGTAGGAGCCTCTCCTACTATTTCCTGTAAAAAAACCACACCTCGAGCCCTATCGAAAAAATGGTTTTGGGAATTTTAAAGGGAGAAGCTCATCATGTCCAAGCGAACCCGCCAACAGTCCGAAGTTACTATGTGAGATGTGAAATAATTCCCGAAATCTAATATTGTAAAACATATATAAGTTTCTCACTAAGCATGGGTAAGCATTATCCTAAAAGGTCAAGTAAGCATCAGTTCTCACTAGCTTGTATTTGTTACCTACAATTGTTGAGGTCTAATGAAGCAATAACAAATAGTAAGACCATAGCAAGGAATGATAGGCATGCCTAAGTAAAACAATTATATGCGAGAATTTAATAAAGTGTAATGCAATACTTTAAATTAAAACAGTTTTGCAAATTCCCATGCGACATGCCTTTGCTCAAAGAAACGATCTTCTGAAACTTCAGCGCAGAAACGAACCGCACTTCAGGATCCTTCGGAATGACATGAACTACATGAAGCACACAAAAAAAAAGATAAAACCCTATTCAAAAAGCAAAGATCAGTACATAAGAAGCACAACCATGGATTCTTTAGGTTATAATTAAGAGGCTTGAACAGATAGATTCAGAGTTTGTATGACCAAAATATGGTCATCCAAAGCTTATTTGTTGTTTAATGGAGATCTACAAATTATTGAATTAATTTTGCAATATAAAACATGTTTATTGCTCCTAGAATGTCAACCTCGAGACCATGGAGGACCAAGTGCACAGAAACTGCTCACGGGTCTATGGAAGTGGACCCGCGTGTCAACCGAAGCCAGTTGCCCACAAGCGGGCCCCACTAGATGCAATGCGCGCAACCACGTGGCACTGACGTGGCCTCCACACGTGCACACCATGACAACACGGGTGGCAACCGATGCCAGCAGCACGGGGATCAAAGCCCTCTAGAAAACGGTGGTGAATAGCAATGCCACAAAGAGAGAAGCCACGACGAGAGGAGAGGAACTAGCATGGCTAGAAGAGAGCGGTGACGAACTTGACATGGAGAGGATGGCTTGGGGGACATAGACAAATGGGTCGGTAATTGGGAGACAACTTCGGTGGTGACTTTTGGGTGAAGACGAAGCAGACGAAGCAATGTTAGCGACGCGTAGGGCTTGATGACGTGAAGCTGGCGATGATGACGACAAAGCCTGATGGCTGCAAGGGCTTCGGCTTGATGGAGGAAGGGGCGACGCGGACAACGTTGTTGCGGCGGCCTTCGGGTGATGGGAGTACGAGGCCGTGCTAGAGCTCACTGTTATGACAAAAAATGGGATGTTTTATGACAAAAATAACTATAGAAATTTCTTTAAAGAAACTCAAACAAATCATTTTTTTAAGTTTATAATGGTTAATACTCAATTAATTATATACTAATAATCCATCATTGATATGTATATGCTAGAATCGGCTCATCAGTCCCAGCTGTCTCGTACGGCTGCGTTCGAGCTAGCACTTCGGCTAGCAGTTTAAGCGCTACCAGAAGCAGTTTAAGCGATACCAGAAAAGAGAGAAGTCATTACCACATGATTAAGTATTAATTATTATAAACTGAAAAACTAGATTAATATGGGCTTTTATAAAGCTTTAATATATATTTTTTTTTGCACATAATACACCGTTTAGTAGTTAGGGATGAGTGTTAATAGAAAACGAGGAAGTTGTTTAGAGTTGAAGCTTATAACTCAGCCTTATTCACAGGCTGATTAAGATAGCTTGACTGGGTCGATCGACTGGCCGATCGAATATTTTGTTATTCCTAACTGGCTAAAAACTGTTAATACGTTTATATAGGATCTTGCGCTACTTGACATATACTTTTCTACCTTTTTCTATCATTAGCAGATATATGCATGAAAACTCCATTTTGAGCAAACAATTAGACCATTACCTGGCAATGTTTAGGCCCTGTTTTAGTTCCCCAAAAGTTTTTCCAAAAACATCACATCGAATCTTTGGACACATGCATGGAGCATTAAATATAAATTAAAAGAAAAACTAATTGCACAGTTAAGGAGGGAAATCGCGAGACGAATCTTTTAAGACTAATTAGTCCATAATTAACCAGTAACCAATATTTGCTAATGACGGAATAATTAAACTCAAAAGATTCGTCTCGCGGTTTCCAGACGAGTTATGAAATTAGTTTTTTGATTCGTGTCCGAAAACTCCTTCCGATATCCGGTCAAACATTCGATGTGACATAAAAATTTTTATTTCGCGAACTAAACATGCTCTTATTGTACAGAAAACGAACGCTACAATCCAGGTTTAATGAAAGGACACAGCTAGCGTATTGAGCTAGCAAACATGAATTATACTGTCATGGTATTTAAGCGGCAAAAACACGCAGAGCAAGGAAGGTCGTCCTGGAAAACATGTAGCAATAAACAAGAAGATGTAAGACACCATTTTGCTTCTACCTTTGCTGTGGAATATAGTAAGCAGTACAACTAAACTACAAGGAAAAATATAATCTTGCATCATTACTCATGAATGACCCTTCTTGGTCTAGAAGACAATACCTGCCATTAAATTAGGCATGTTCCAAGTAATTTCCTCGGCGAGCTATAATTGGTTCAGAGGGTATCTGCAATTCTGCCTAGAACCAACCTGAGCAGTAGCATCCAGAAAGGCATAGGTTTTCACATAAGCTGATTCACCAGAGCATAATAAAAATGATCTGCCTGGAATGGGTCGCCAGAAACTATGTCTTAGATGTTACAACTATGTTTAAAATTAATACCTTTGTGGGCAGCTGAATACAATTTTTAAGATGTTAATATCTTTGAAGAACAAGCTGAAAACCGCGCAGACGTGCAGTGATCAGGCATGGAAAACTAGGCTGGATTTTAACCTTTGAGGCTGAGTTCTTTCCCTAACTTTTCCAACTCACATCCCTCGTTTTTCGCGCGCACGCTTTTCAAACTATTAAACGGTGTATTTTTAAAAAAAATTCTATACGAAAGTTGCTTTAAAAAATCATATTGATACTTTTTCAAAAATAATTTGATAAATACTTAATTAATCATGCGCTTTTTCGCGCGCACGTTTTTCAAACTATTAAACGGTGTGTTTTTTTGCAAAAATTTTCTATACGGAAGTTGCTTTAAAAAATCATATTGATCCTTTTTCAAAAATAATTTGATAAATACTTAATTAATCATGCGCTGATGGACTACTCCGTTTTTCGTGCACAAAACATTTGTTCCCAACCCACCCAAACGATCACAGCCTAAGTCCTTAGCACCTTAGCACCGTGGTACAACATAACGGCGCCAATGATGTTTACGCCGTCCCCCTCGCATCATTAATGTGAAGGAGGACAGCGCCAATATCGTTGGAGCCGAGTACCTATTTGTAAAAGATAAAATAACCTACTTTTAGCACAAAAGGACCTATTTGTATTAACAAATAGATTCTCAACGCTAATGACGCTAGCACCGAAGACCTATTTGTAAATATTTTTTTATTACAACTAGAGCCTTTTTAAAAAAAATACAAATTGGTCATCAGCGCCAACAATATCGGTGCCGTCCCTTTTATATTAGTGACTTAGCTTCCACCAAGGGGCATCCACCAAGGGGATATGGGGATGACGCAAACGTCATTGGCACCGTCATGTTGGACCACGGCGCCAATGAATTGGCTCCATGAAAATGATCATTTCTAAAATAAGTTTTCTAAAAGGATAAAAAATGTGAAAAATCCAAGAAAACTAGGCAACCAAATCAAATTAAAAAGAATCAATTAATGATTTTTCCACTGTACTGACAAATGAAGCTGCTCGGAGAATATAGCTTTTTAGTTTAAATCATAATGACTCTTTCTTTAACTATCTCTAAAATACAAGTTTTCTCTAAATCAGCAACCCTTCCACTTTCATTATCAAAAATAACAATCCTTCCTCTTTATGCAGCAACTTGGAACCAGCACTGACGAACTCCATCGAGCTAAAAATGGCAGCATAAAAAATACGGGGATGGATAGCCAAATCTAGTTGACAGGATACGCTCTTATGCAGGAGATGAGCATGAATACCACCGAGAAGACGCAAAGAACAAACTGAGATGCCTTAAGGAGAGTCTACTGACAATCCAAGAAGTGAGACACAAAGATGGGATATTACAAGCTAATAAGGAAACAAACATTGGAAATAACAGATGCTACTTATACTTATCAGGCTGAGGATGTTCTGGAGTTATATGGTTACCGAGTTCTAAAAGGACAGGCTGAAATCATGGGCTGCTATACCTGGGATTTAAGCGGCAAAACTACGCAGAGCAACAAAGGTCCTGGAAAACGACAGGATTACATGAAACAATAAACAAGAACAAGAGACCATTTTGCTTCTACTCTTGTTGTGAATATACTATGCAGCAAGCAACTACAAGAAACCCAAAACGAAAATGAGTCTTGGGAGACACTACCTGCAATTTTTTAGGCATGTTCCAGCTTCCAAGTAGTTTCCACATCGAACTATCATTGGTTCATACAGAGGGTATCTGCAATTCAACCACGACAATACTGCCACTCCAAAAGTACCTAGTTATTAGAACGAATGTGAGCACCAGAAGTCAGAAATTCATAAAAAATTTTCACAAAGATATTAGTCACCTGAGCATTAAAAAATGGTCCCCTTGTAATGAATCACCAAAACTTTTTTTACATGCAACAACTATGTTTCAATACACATAATTAAGCATAAGAGACTATGTGGCAGCTCAATATTTTTAAAAAAAAATTGCAGTAACTTTGTGAAGAAAACCACAATCAGTGTAGTGAGCATACACAGAAAACTAAACAACGAAATTACAGTAAAAACAAGCAATATTTTTTCTATTCTACCATAGGACATTAGAATATGTAGTGTATGAAGCTGCTCGGAGAAGTAAGACAGCTTTTTTTGTATTATAATGATTCTTTCTCTTTCTTGACTACATCTACATACAAGCTCTCCACATCACCAATCTTTGCTCTTTATGCAGCAACTTGGAACCAGCATTGAACAACTTCTCAAAGTTAAAAATCACAGCTACAGAAATAAGGGGGGTGGATCACCTCAGCCTGCATCTCAATTCTCAAAGCTCATTGATTGATCAGTATTAATGAAGACACAAAGGACAACCTGAGAAGCTTTAAGGAGAGTACTGGAAGTCCAAGAATTGGTAGACAGAGCTGAGAGATTGAACCTGCATCGAACAACTCCTTGGGGAACAATGGCGACTACAGCAATAGGGGGATGGATCGCCTCAGCCTGCATATCAAAGCTGGTTGATAAGGTGTGTTCTTATGCAGGAGATCAGTACGAATACCAACGGGAAGACACAAAGGACAAACTGAGAAGCCTTAAGGAGAGTCTACTGACAGTCCAAGAATTGGTATGCAGAGCTGAGAGATTGCAAGGTAGGGAAACAAACATTGCAAATCAGTTAAGGGGAATTAAAGATGCTGCTTATCAGGCTGAGGATGTTCTGGATTTATTTGATTACCGAGTTCTAGAAGCACAGGCTGAAGTCATGGACAAGGTGACCACTAAAGCTCAAGTCATGGGCAAGGTGACCACTAACTCAATTTCATCTGCCATAGCTGGTTCTTCTTCATCCTGTTCCTCTTCATCATCCTCCATAACCACCCTTAGCAGTGATTCAACAGTAAAACGGTCAGTTCGTGCTCTCAAACGATTCCTTTTCTGTGATGAAGATCTCACTAAGTTAGCTGCTGCAGTGACTATATTTAATGAGATTGATAGTCGGATGAAAACACTCCTGGAGTTACTGAAGCTAGAAAACAGGGCACCAGAACATCCAGTTCAGTGGCGCACAACAACCTCGATGCTGGACACCACAAAGTTTTTTGGACGGGTTAGTGAAGGTAAACACCTAAAGAAGTTACTTATTCAGAAAAATAAAAAGTCCAGTCAACCTTATGATGTTATATCAATTGTTGGCATTGCTGGTGTCGGTAAGACTGCGCTTGCACAAAAGGTGTATAGCATTTTTTATGATAAAGAGAAACACTTTGATTTTATGGCATGGCTCCATGTTTCAAATAAATTCGACGTTGAACGCCTAATAAAAGAGTTGGTACAGTCAGTTCACCTTTGTACAGCTGCTGAGTTGAGCAGCATCAGTAGTTTAGATCAAGCTCAGAGGATACTTAAGGACAAACTGAAAGGTAGCAGGATTTTGGTAGTATTTGATGATGTATGGAATGAAATGAGCAGCCAGTGGGAGAATCTGTGCAAGCCTCTGCAGTCTACCAGTAAAGGCAGCAAACTAATAGTAACTACTCGAAGTCAAAATGTTGCAAACATTAACGGGGCAACCGAGATAGTGCATTTAGATGGCCTAGAAGATGAAGACTACTGGGAACACTTTTTACAGTGTGCCTTTCATGATGCAAATCCATCCCAATTTCCACAATTGGAAAGTATTGGTCAAGAATTGGTAAAGAAGTTGGCTGGTTCACCTTTAGCAGCTCAGACAGTAGGGAACTTATTAAAGTTTAAACTAGATGAAAAACACTGGGAGACAGTCAATGGAAGAAAATTGTGGCAGATAGAACAGAAGGAAGATGGTATTATGCCAGCACTGAGGTTGAGCTATGTGCGTCTTCCTGATCATTTGAAGCAGTGCATTATTTATTTTGCCTTATTCCCTAAGAATTACCAACTTCGAGGTGATGCACTAATAAGGATGTGGAGAGCTCATGGTTTCGTTAACAAGGAAACACCAGATGAAACCGCATATCGTTACATCAATGATCTTTTACAGATTTCATTCATCCGTAAGGTTGCCAATATAGAGGATCATTATGTTGTTCATGACTTGCTACATGATTTTGCTGAGTCAATCTCAAATGGTGAACACTTCCGTATAGAAGATGATTTCCATGTCAGTATTCCAACAAATGTTCGCCACCTATATGTCAATGCAAGCAACATATCTACTGTGTATGCAAGCCTTGAAGAAAACATAGAAATAAAGAAAAATTTGAGAAGCTTAATAATATGCAAGGCAGATGTTGCCTCCTGGAGCTGGACCCGCACATCTAATTTCAACTATGCTCTGGAAGAAACACTGAAAGAGTTAGGAAGCTTACGGGTATTAGTGCTCCGCCATCCTGCTGGTGTTCTGCCAAACAACATCCAGCATATGGTCCACCTTAGGTATCTGGACATCAAAGAAAGCAGAGAATTTACCTTTCTGCCTACATCGTTATTTGGACTCTACCACTTGCAAGCATTGAGTCTGCAGTCTCGGTATGTGAATAGACTAAAAATAGGACTCGAAAATGGCATCAGCAGGTTGACCCAGTTAAGATACTTAGATGCTCCACCAGGAATAATTTCAGGCATAAAATTGATTGGCAAGCTCACATTCCTCCAGGAATTCAACCATGGCAATGCAAAGAAAAGAAAAAGAACAGCATCATTATAGAAAAACTGTAAGTATGACAAGTGAATTCCCTCCTTAATCATGAATTATGGATTAAAGAAAAATCTATAAGCAAATGAATCATGTCTAGTTTGTGGGTACAATGTATATAGTTGTAACAAAAAATCTTCTGTGAGAGGCACAATGGTACACAACAAGTGGTTAGTAGTTGTAAATCGTCATGCAATTAATTTAGTAGGTGGTCGAATTCCTAATACCCCGATATTATGATTACATATAACAGAAGATCGGGAAACAACTTCATGCTCTGGTTATGACAAACATACATAAAAATTCAATTAGTTAACTGAGGATTATGTAGGTCACTACATATAACGTCTAACCACTGTTCTAAAATTGCATCATATCATTTGATTTTGGCTAATACTTCTCTTCTGATTCTATTACAGCAATCAAGAATGCATATGCGTGCACTCAGCCTTTTATGGACAACTGGGTCACTGCAAAAAACTAGTCAGACCAGGAACCTCACACCAGAAAAAAGTTCATACTGTATGTAACGAAGAAATCAGTTTTTTCACTCTCAGTTGCACATGATACTCTAAGAAGAATATATATCGTGAATAAATAACTAATTGTGTTTTCTATCTTGCAGGCACCGTGTTATTTCTAAAAAGGAAACGACATGTTTTCAACTGCTAACATGGTGAGACATTGTCATTGCAATTAAACTTAAGGAGCCGGAGACATCAGTACATCGGGAGCAGATAGGTTGAGCTACGGCAGCTACAGGAAAATTGAAGGTAGACCATGGTCCTTGATAATATGTGTCATGTGCAAAAGCTAAATTGTAAATAATTTAGCTGCTAAGTTGTGAAACTCACTAGGCCAACATGCAGGAACATCTCAAACAACTCAGGATTTAGATGATTCGGTTCACATGAACAATCTTCACAGTGCTTGTTATTTTTATGTGAACGGAGTCATCTAAATTTTCCCTGTTCGTTATCGGCTTCTTCTTTATGCCATGATATGCAAGTCATTTGTGTTTTCCCTAAAAGTTCACATGAACAATAGTACTTCACACGATAGAATGTGGAGGACATTTGAGAGCACAATTTCCAAGCCTTTTCATCCTTCCACTTCTTTATTTGAAGTTGATTCACCTTTCCATAAAGTTTCACCATTCATAATCTTATTTCTACTTGTCCAAAATGTTCTTCCATTTTTGGCTGTCAATTTCAGTGAGGAAGTAGAGGTGAAGGAGAACTTTCGTCCAAAAAGAATATTGTTTCATCTAGATGATGTTTTGTTATTTTTCTCAATTTGACACTTATACAGCATAATTCGGTGATATCACACATTACAATTTATTTACTTTTCCATGCTAGTACCATAAAGGATTATTTTTCAAAGAATAGGGAGATATCCAAGGCTCCGGTAATCATTCAAAATATCTGCATCTCAAGATTACAACAATCTGGTACTCTGTAACAAAGTAATTCTTGGATGACAAAAGCTTCAACGCCCTATTGTCCAACACAAAACACAAACAATATGCTAACTAAATGGAAATGCAATGAAGCCATATTTGTGCAATCATATGTAGTTACAAAAAGAATTAGTAGGCCCCCACGGACGGAGCCAGGATTTTGAGTCACTGGAGTCATGGCTTTCACTTGCAATAGTGTCGTTTTTGAGGGGACTCCAACTTTAAGTATCTTTAGCTCAAAAGTCTTTTGTAGCTAGAACTGTGAGCAAGTTGGAATTATTTCATTTTACTAAAAATAAATACATAAACTCTATATTATACAAGAATCTATGGATTTTTAAAAGGTCTAAAAATTTAAAAGTTAGAACCATATAAATCAGCCCTAACAACAATGTTTTCTTTCGGACATAAAGGCAAGCTATGGATGTAGCTTACTGCCCCCTCCATCTCAAAATGCCCTTCTTTTTTAAGAGATTGGTTGAGATGAAGAGGTATATGGAAAGTAGTTATATTTTAAAATAAATTAAAATCCTAGAGATAGCTATATTTCGAGATGGAGTAAATAGCTTAAAGAAACACACCTAACATCTAGTTATTCGATTAGCAGAACTACTGGCCTAATGCATTGATATGCATGCCACGTAGCTAAATTAGATCATTAACAGCCCAAATATGTTTAATTGAGGCATTAGTGGTGCTGTGGTGGATTGACAGTAGCATAACAAATAAGCTACTACTATATTGTTTTAGCTTTCATGAGCTCCAGCAGATTAGCGGGCTGACCGAGGTCATCAAACTTTGTTTGCTGGGGTCATTAGCTATAAAATACTGAGCAATTCATTTGGTTGGTTGAATGCCATCGGGGTCATCTGACCCCGGTGATATTACTGTGGCTCCACCCCTGATATGTGAATATCATGTATCTGGGGCTCCAAGCTATGTCTCAGAAACCCCGATCTGAGCCCCAACCTCCCTGATTGTCTCATCTGTTATGAGATCCAAGGGAAAAGAATTCATCCGGATTGGAACCAACCAAAAGAAATTGAAACTGGGGGTAGGACTTAGGACCACAATCATTCACAAGAACACAAACAAAAAAATTTCACCAAAGAAAATGTAGAAATGCATCACCAAATGAAAGAATATTAATTGGCCGCTGGCGGAGAGAAGGCTTTTACTTAGATGAAGGTGGCGAGTCCAGAAACCAGAAACATCGGGGCATCTCCGCCACCACTGCAGACTCCCTTCTCTCATCCAGACAGTAGACATCGCCGGTGAGGGCGGCCTTGTCTTCTTTGAGGTTTTGACAAAGATGATCTGACTAGGACGAAGAGCATCAAAAGAGCAGCTTCCAATTAGAACACCTTATAGAATATATGACTACTCCTAGTCCTAGCTAGGACAACACCATCTTGAAGAAAATTTCATCAAGCACTGAAGATGCTCTGAACTTACTTGATTACAGAATCCATGAAGCCATATCTGAAACCATGGACAAGGTGACACCTGAATTTGTTGATTCTTCAACTGCTGGTTATCCCTCTTCCATGATGACCATCATCATTACCACTTCCACCACTACAAGCAGCTCAACCTCAACAGTTAAACAACCAGTTCAAGAAAATAGATGCAAAAGTGAGATTGTGTCTTGTCAAAAGTTCATGCTGCAGCACCAAATGAATTTCAAAATTTTGTAGATGAAACCATAGGAGCGGTATTGTCCATCACAAATCATTCAGAGTAGTCCTTTTAGATAAAGGTCATAGGACCTTGCTTTTCATTGAAAGCAAAGCAAGGAACTGCAGGTATTTCCAACATACAGGATAATATCAGGTTTTCTGGTCAGACCCCAGTCATCTAACAGACATAACTCAACAAGTTTTAACAGAACATCCTAAAGACAGTAAACTAGGACTATAAACCTTCCCCTGGCTTCACCTAGTCAAAGTGATAGCACATACCTAATAGACACAATGTACAACTCCAGCAAAGATAAAACACCAAGCAGCTACATCCAGCAAGACTAGTATCAGGTCAGCCAACTCCAGAATGTGGTAATCGCCAAGCTTTTCATGGCATCATGTAGCGCTGAAGACAAGAGTTCCACCCAACTGACTTCATCAGATAACAGATGGGTCTTACACTGCAAATGTAAAGACAATTCAAAAGGAGATAATCAGAGGGGATGAGGCAAGTTTATTTCTGAAGATTGTACCATTTCTGGTCAACAAGAGTTGCCAGCAAACAACAATAAATAGCATAAAGTCAACTCTAGCACTTTTGGACCCAAACCAATAACCAAAAGAAAAAAGTCAAAATTTGAAGGAATTCTGCTCCAGTTCAGAGCATCTCTGCAAATGCACCACAAAGCAACAGGCCAACAGCAATTGGGAATTTGAAAAGGATATGATTAGCAGTTTCAAATTCCCAACACAACTAATAAAATTCAGAGCCATTGCAGTTCCTTTTCTCAACTGGACTGCAGATTGGATTCTATCTTTATAAGCCAACCAGAGAAAATGTTTCATTTTCATGGAGAAAGGAGCTGATCAAATATCCTTCAACCTCAGATCAGTCACATCAGCAAAAGAAAAAGAAAAAAAAAAGAGGCTATCAACATGTCCTGAAGTGGTAATTTCATCGAGATGTAGGAGAGTATGCATTATAAGACCATAGGACACTATGAAGAAACAATTCATGCAGCAAAATAACACTTGTAGCTTCCTGAATACAAATTCATGTACCATCAGTTTTCAGGCAAGAAGTTTAATTGCATACATAATGCATACTGCAATTAAGAAGTTTGTAAGCTTAAACCTCATCCAATACATAGAGATTGCACCATATATAATTCAGAAGCAGGCAAGGGCAATAGAAAGAAGTCTTAAAAAGAGGAACCACCTCATTCAGCAGGCATCACACGAAAGGCGAAGCATTCACGACATAGTCCAGCAGAGATGGAAAGAATGCATGCGGAACAAGGCTTGCTCTAAGCTTCACTGGAGTAATACTGAGGCCGTCATTATCATGTGGCAAACTCGCCAACAGCTTGCCATCAGTACCAATGTAGAGCATGGCTCGTTTGCAGTTAACCAGCACAAGCACATCCCCATCCTCGGAAGAAACCATCACACTGTAAAGATCACGCTTCACATCAAGCTCTCTCCTGATCTCTAGAACTGGCAATTCAACCCGGTACTTGAGAGACCAGACCTCTCTCTCATAATCCTCCAGCACCCAGATATCTACAAATGTCGCACCATCGTCACAGCAGTACATGCCGAGCATACAATTAATCTCAAACAGGCCATGAAACGCTCTCCACACCGCCTTGCCGAATGGAGACCGCATCCACCGGAACGACTCGGCTGTAATGTCAAACGCCAAAATCATATCTTCGATTCTCTTATACCAATGCAGGCTCCCATGCAGCAGCACAGATGCGCCGTTTGCCTCCGCCTCTGGCCACCCAATGCACCTCGGCAAATCGCCAGAGCCCAATGTGTAGACGTAGCAGGCGTTTCTATCGCCGGGGATCAGAACATCAACGAGCCGCTCCGAAGCAGGTAGCTCTATCCTGTAGAGCAGAAGCCGATACTCGCCGGTGGGGCGGTGCCAGTACAAGCCCATGAGCATGAACCCGGTGAGCAGCGGCAGCGGGATGTCACCGGACTGACGCGTGGTCGGGTTACAGATCGAGAAGCGGACACTGGAATGGGCACCGATGGCCCTCTTCCTCCAGAGGACAAGGATGCCGTCGCAGGAGGCCTCCTCCACGCAGAAGACGGAGCTGTCGAACCGGGCGACGGGGTGGAGGAGCCGGCGCCGGCGGTCGACGGCGAGGACGTCGCCGTTTCTGCAGCCGGTGACGAGGGGGAGGGAGGGCTGGTGGCGGTGGTGGGCGAGGAGGAAGTCGCGGGTGGAGGTGAGGCGGCGCCATGCGCGGCACACCAGGCGGCAGCGGAGGAGGGGTTTGGGGGGAAGCCGTACCAGGATGTCCCAGACGACGAGGACCTCCGGGAGGGCGACGCCGGAGCTGAGCGGCGGCGGGAGTCCTGTCGCCGCCGCCGCCGCCGCCAGTGGAGTGAAGTGACGAGGCCAGAGACGGGCTGACGGCGGAGATACCCTTTTGGGCCTTTGGCTTTTTCTTTCTTTTTTTTTTTTTTTTGAAAATTCGATCAGCAGCACAGAGAAACCCCGTTAACAGAGAAACCCTTTTGGCCTTTGGTACCGTTTTCTTTGCTGTGCTATGATCGAATTTTCTCCACAGAGAAACCCGTTAACAAATTTCTCACTTCGATTGGAAGCACATATCATCGGTTTTCCTACTATACATAACACTTTCATCACATTTTGAGCTAACGGTGTTAGATTAAAGTAGAAAAATTTATCCTGTAATAACTAATTTTGAGTTAACGGAAGTGCTATATATTGAAGGAAAATCGATGACATGTGCTTCTAGTCAAAGTGAAAAATTCCTTGTGCTATTTTTTCGTACTGGTTTTTTTTTCCTATGGATCGAACTCTCTCTTTTTTGGGCCGGTAGAGCCACGACTCATTAAACGTTCATTTTCATCTTGAACATCAGAGACAATTTCTTACGTTCAAGGCATTAAATTTCAATCACCTTAAAATTTCAATTTCATTTCTAAAATTTCTTCTAACTGAAATGTGACTTCATACATCTCCTTATCATCATCCTCCTTTTGCCTTTTCCCTGTACTTTACTATTGAACCATTTTTTTAACTCAAATGTGACTTCATACATAAGCATTTCAGGGGTAGTCAAAACAAATATTAAGGGTAGAGCAATGGGGTTCATAACGCCCACTTTGATCCTCACCATATTTGGAGTTGTGACAAACAGTCCCTCAATATTCAATATCTTGTACAGCCCCAAACATGACCCAACTTCATAAAATGCCAAATGATTCTTCATTTCAAGGCAGACCAATCATGCACATCCACCCGCACAATGTGTAATTTGCCGGCAGCAGCAGCCCCTTGAGTCCATTTCTTGATAAAAAAAATTCTCATTTCAGCTCCTTTAAGCTTAAAATCCTCAAAATCTGCTAGTGCACCTAGGTTCCCTTTGATAGGAAGTCCCATTGGATTGTGCTTTGGCTTTCCAATTCCAATTCGATTTGAATTGCATATTAAGGCTGTGTTCGAGAGGAGGGGTTGTCTCCCGGCACGCAAAACGAAGCATATATTATTGCATGATTAATTAAGTATTGTTTTTTTTGAAAATTGGATTAATATGATTTTTTAAAACAACTTTCGTATTGAAATTTTTTGTAAAAAACACAATGTTTAGCGGTTTGAAAAGCATGCGTGCAAAAAACGAGAGAAGTGAGTTAGGAAAAGTGGGGGAAGAACACAGCCTAAACCCCTCTTCCACTTGTTTCGCTACTAGTACACCACCAAAAAGGATTGACACTATCCCCGTTGGATTGGCATGCTCTTTACTCACAACCGCCCTTGCGTTTTGGATGAGAATGTAACCCAACCCATTTGCTGCACAACCCACAAATTTCTTACTCTCCAAATAGCATTCTAAAGTACGATGATTGTCCCTCCCACATATGACACAAAGAAACTTGAACATTGCAATCTCTAATTGTATGACCATGAATCTTACACCTACTGCAAAAACCTTTGAGATCAGCTTGCGATTTTACCAGTTGAGTCAGCTCATCTGTCGCCTGCTCTTTTCCTTCTAGACTTGCTTTGCCCGATCTCTGGGTCTCCGCTTGCGACTCCGATCAGGATGCCACTGCTGCGGATTCGTTTGTTTATGAATCCGCAGCCTATATGTGCCCCTGCATTAGCTTCTCTTGATGTGCTTGAGCAACCCCCTCTATTTTGCTTCTGCTGCACCTCAATAGTCATTGCCTTGGTATGGTGGGCGACATGGTTGCCACCTATTCGGCATGAGTTTCTCTCCCATCAGCTCTCCTCGTGCTGCCTTCACCGCCGAGACGAAATCCCTTGAATCACCGGATTTTGTCCCCTTCCAGATCCCACCCCTCCCACCGATGCTCTCCCTCGGCCACTTTCTTCCACTACTCGCCAATGTTCTCCATCCCGCCGCCAAATCCCTCATGAAAATCCGGCACAACCCTCCTCAGATGATGAAATGGGTTCGAGATGTGGGGGAATGGTGGCGTGGGAGCTAGGTGCCTAGGTTTACCCTTGATTCGAGTGGATCGAGAGAGGAAAAGGGGAAAAGGGGTGGATCAAGTTTTTTTTTACTCAACAGCTGTGCTTCCAAAAACATGCGGCCACAGCTCACAGCAGAAAAATGACTCGTTGTTTTGCTTCAAAATGAAAAGTTGGCCTCTGCTCTCTACCTCCAGTACATCAAGATACAGGGCAAAAACATTCACAAATTCAGTCACCACGTACACGACCATGGTTACAGTTAAGAATTCACAAATTCAAGTTATCAACAGTACAGTACAAGCTGATGCACAGCTCTAAAAATTCAAGCACCACATGATTAGGTTACTAAGATTTCGGCAACACCATGTCACCATCACTAGGTCTGCGAGCGTGAAATTGAATTTATTCCAAGGAACACGTAACAATTCTGGAGGCCGAGTGAGCTATGCCAGTATGCTCTTGTGCAGGAGATCAAAGCAACCTTAGGTGCAGGTGCAACCGTGCAGCTGAGAGATGTCGAAACAAGAATTCAAGCATGGAAGACTGGCAAACTACTTATCAAGCTGAAGATGTTGACTTATTTGATTACCGAATCCATGAAGCTACATCTGAAGCCATGGAACACTGAATTTGTTGATTCAATCCCTCTTTCCATGATGGCTAGTCCACCAAGCAGCTCAACCTCAACAATTAAACATCCATCTTGCATTATTAAACATAATCTAATTGAAATTATGAGTTACTATATATGCACGAAACTTTGAATAGCTGAATTTTATGTATAACAATGCAGTAAACAAAATGGCAACAGCGATCACATCATGAAACAACAGTATACCATTGTGATTTCCAATTAAAAATTAATAGAATATGAATATTACTAGCTATGACAAAACACCCGTTGGGGGAAGTTTCAGACGACAATAGTACCTTCTTTTGCCTATTCAGATTGTTTCTTTGAGACTTAACCATGCCCACTTAGCTAAATTGCAGTACTTTTACATGTATGAAACATAACTAGAAACCAGCCCATGTCTGCTCCTTAGACAATCAGGATGGAAGCCTCATTTGACAGAGTCTGCCTGCCCCTATGCAGGATATCAGTATTACTACCAGAGGGATGATGCGACAGATAGACTAAACAAAAATGCTACAGTACAGCTTGTGCAGTATGCTCTTATGCAGGAGATTAAAGCAACCGTGCGTGCAGCTGAGAGATGTCAAAACAAGAATTCAAGCATAGCAAACTGGAAAAGTACTTATCAAGTTGAATATGTTCCGTACTTACTTGCTTATCTAATCCTTGAAGCTATATGTGAAGCCATGGACAAGGTGACCAATGAATTTGTTCATTCTTCAGCTGCTTGTTCTCCCTATTCCATGATGACCACCATCATCACCACCACTTCCGTCGCTAATAGCAGCTCAAACTCAACAGTTACACATTCATCTTATATTCTCAAATGCATTTTTTCTCCGATGAAGACCTTAATGGCTTAATTGATTTAGTAAACATATTTGATAGTATTGATGAACATATGCCAACATTCCTGGAGATAGATTAATAAATGCTTGCAAACACTAGCTTCGATGGCACAGAACCTCTTTGCCAGGCGAATCCTTTTTTGGTAGGATCCATGGAAGTAAAGAAATTGAAAGGAAAACTTTTGGATAAGAATGACGGTAGTTGAAATTGCAGGTGCTGGCATGACTGCTTTACTGCGCCAAATGTAAACAGCCCTGCTGTGAATGCGTGCTTCAACCATTTAACAGTTCAATTTTTTCAAGATATCAACTATTGTTTCCAACTAATTATAAAAATCACTAAACAATATAACTTCCTGGAAGAAGACAAACATGCCCAACAATTGCAGAATGCAATGGACTCTGTCAGTAACTACCGCGAACTGTTCATTTCATTGAACACTGGGCTCTACCGTAACCATTTCATTAAGAGTTTTTAGAGCATTAGAGCACTCCCTTGAGTGTAAAAAACATAGCAAATCAAATGTGCACAACATCCCGGTTCAGGAAAATACAAGCAAAAAACCAGGTTAATGTTTATAGTGCAACACCAAGTAAGTTTCATTTTTTTTTAGATAAAACCATGTGAGCAGTATTGTTCATCATTAATCAGTGAGAGTTGTTTCCACCTTGGACCAAAAGACTATCGACATGTCGTATTTGTAATTCAATCAAGACGTAGTAGGTTTTGCATTATAAGTCACAATGAACCAACTATTCATGTGGCCAAATACAATTATTGTATCCTGGTTGCACATTCATCTACAATAAGTTCAGCTAAGAAGTTTTCATACATAAAAGCACAATTCAGAAAATAATAAGTTTGTGTGCTCAAACTTCATTTAGCAGACATCAGATGAAAGGCAAATCATTCACGACATAACTTTTTAGCAACGGAAAGAATGCATGTGGAACAAGGCTTTGTTTAAGCTTCATACGAGTAACCATGATGTCATTACCATCATGTTCGAGACGCGCCAACAGCTTGCCGTCAGTATCAAAGCAAAGCACCGATTGTCCGCAATCAACCAGCACAACCACAACCTCATCCCCATCCTCGGACGAAACCATCACACTCCAAGAATCACCCACGTCAAGTTCCCCCCTGATACATGTAACCGGCAATTCAACCTGGTACTTGATGGACCAGACCTCTTGCTCGTAATCCTGCAGAGCCCAGATATTTACAATCGTCTTGTCATGATTACAGCAGTACAAGCCAAGTGTAGAATCCATCTCAAGCACATCTGCCCAGAGTTCCCGGTTCAATTCATTCTCCGTCTTGTCAATGGGCGCGCGCATCCACCGGAATGACTCGGCCGTGGTATCGAACACCAGAATCATATGTTTGATGCTATGGTACCAATGCAGCAGGCTGCCATGAAGCTGGGCAGGTCTGCAGCGTCTGCTGTGGCCGGCTAACATGGACACCTCTGGCTCTGCCCAACCGATGCGCCTGGGCATGTCGTTGGAGCCCAATGTGTAGACGTAGCTGGCATCTCTCTCGACATGCCCAGGAATCAGATCTTCCAACACCACCTTCTCAGCTCGGTAGAGCAGAATCCGGTAGTCGCCGGTGGGGCTGTGCTGGTACAACCCCAAGAACATGAATCCGGAGATCAGCGGGAGGTCACCGAATTGGCGCGTGGTCGGGTTACAGATGGAGTATTGCGGGGGGCCGGTGTTCCGGGAGATGAGAAGGAGTCCATCGCAGGACGAATCCAGGTAGTCGGCGGTGCTGGCGTACCGGGCGACCGGATGGAGCCGCGCGGCGGCGCCCCTGCGGCGGCCGAGGGTGAGGGTGAGGACGTCGATGAGGTACATAATATCGGCGTAGTCGCAGGCGGCGATGAGGGGGAGGGAGGGCTGGTGGCGGTGGTGGGCGAGGAGGAAGTCGCGGGTGGATGTGAGGCGGCGCCATGCGCGGCAGACCAAGCGGCAGCGGAGGAGGGGCTTGGGGGGTAGGCGTACCAGGATCTCCCAGACCACGAGCTCCTCCGGGAGCGGGAGGCCGGGGCTCACCGGCGGCAGCCCTCGCGTTGCCGCCTCCGCCATGGTCGCCGTCGCGGCAGCGGCGGTGGAGCCGTGGAAGGAGGTGAGGCGAGGCGACCTTTTTCCCTTTTTTGAGAGGGGAAAGGCGAGGTGACTTGGGTTGGGTAGGAGCTTTGAATGAGCCTTGGGCCTTTTCCTTTATGGGCCAGCGGAGCTATGTGACTAATTAAGGAATAAGTTTATCTGAGGTCTCTTAACTTATCAACGAATCCGATTTTCGTCCTTTAACCGGAAAACCAGATACAACGGGTCCCTCAACTGTTAAAACCGGTGGTCTCATTTTAGATGGCAGTCGCTGTGCACCACCCCTCCTCACTCACGCTTGGAGAGAGGACAAAGGAGATGGGAGAGAGATGAATACATGGGAGTTGGGGAGAGAGGAGGAAGAAGAGGGGTGAGAATGACATGTCGGATTTGTTGACAGTTAAGGGACCTCATATGAACTTATTCCACTAATTAAATGGTGATTTTCGTGTTGAGGGCTAGTTTAGCACAGTTCTAGCTCCATGTCAAATAGTTTCAACTCCACCAAAAATAGAAGCGGAGTTGGGTAGAGTTCTCTCACAAAATAAACTAGATGAATGGAGCTGGGTTTAGGCTGCTACACAACTCCACTTCAGACCCAACTCCTGTAGCTAAATTCAATGTAAGGAAAGTATCTTTCATGCCATATATAATATACTCTCTCTGTCCCAAAATATAATAATTTAGTGCATGTTTGGTAGAGCTACAACTCCTAAATTTAGCTTCAAAAGTTGGGTATGGAGTGGAGTTGTGAAACTGCCTAATCCTAGCTCCATTCATCTAGTTTATTTTGTGAGAGCATTCTACCCAGCTCCGCTTCTATTTTTGGTGGCTTCATTTTGTCGTGTCCGCCCACGACTTATTCTGTGAATACTAGTTTCGCACGAAAAAATCGGAATTTTTCTGACATGGGTGCAGATGGGCGGGAGATCTGCCGCGAAAACCCTTTTCGACCTCAGGGAAAAATCGTTTTTTTTAAGTAGTGTGGGAGAAAATATATGATGACAAAGCTATATTATAATATTAATATGAGAAGAGTATAATTAGCATAATTTTACATGATATATGATGCAATAATGGGGAAACATAATCCCAAAAGAAACAAAGATTGGGAATATAACACGTGGCAGTTTAAGAAAGCAAATAAAAAGAACATGGACAGTTGATCGGAAGAGGCAAAGCAAGAACTGGAGAAGTGGAAAAGTAAACCATGTCAATGAAGAATTTATAGTGGGGCGAGCTAGGTCAATGGTTTCCGAAGATGAGGTGCTTGGATCTCGGAAATGCTGTTCTGCGATCGATCGCTCTGGGGATGGGGCAGCGATCGATCCCCTCCCTTCACCTGGTTTTCTTTTTTGGTACCGCATTACTTTTCTATTTTAGTAAATTTTTACACCTAAAGTTTATACATCTCAAGTTTACACATCTAAAGTTTAGAGACCAAAAGTTTATAAGTCAAAAGTTTATATATCCGATTTAAATTTGAATTTGAATTCAAATATTTTTTTATATATAGTATTTCTGTAAATCTAAAGTTTATACACCTAAAGTTTATAGATCTAAAGTTTATAAGTCAAAAGTTTATATACCCGTTTCAAATTTGAATTTGAATTATATCTGATTCAAATTTGAATTTGAATTTAAATATTTTCTATATATAGTATTTCTATACATCTAAAGTTTATACACCTAAAGTTTATAGATTCAAAGTTTATAAGTCAAAAGTTTACATACCCGATTCAAATTTGAATTTGAATTACATCTGATTCAAATTTGAATTTGAATTCAAATATTTTCTATATATAGTATTTCTATACATCTAAAGTTTATACACCTAAAGTTTATAAACCCAAAGTTTATAAGTCAAAAGTTTACATACCCGATTCAAATTTTAATTTGAATTCAAATTTTTTATATATAGTATATCTATACATAAATTTTTCTAACTTTTGTTTTTTTAAAAATTTTGTGTGGTGTACTGTAGTAGAAAGAGAAGAAGGGGAGGAGGAAGGAGGAGAAGAGGGAGGAGTATAGGGGGTTGCGATCGATCACCCATTAGCCTCCCCCCTTGATCGGAAGACACAGAAACGCACCGATTTTGCTAAACGTTTGTCGCGTGATTTCTCATCGAAAATTTGACGTTTTTCTGGCCGTCGGATGGTGCGCTAGATTGGTGGTGGATTTCGCGTGGGGAGCCACGTGGGCCGATCTGGTCCGAGCTCGTGTCGTCCTAGCCGTTTTCTCGCTCTCTCGCCTGCGCTTTCTTTTCTCGTTCTCTCTCTCCCTTTCTTTTCTCGTTCGCTCCGGAGAGAGTGAGAGCTCTCGCAAAATAAATCTCCTTCCCGGTGAGTTGTTTTCTCGATTTTCTCCGTAAAAATCGATTTCTTTAACCATTGAAAAATTAAGACAATTGAAACTAAAATTATACATGTAAATTTAGTTGATATGACATGTAAGTGCACTGTAATTTTGATAAAAATATTGTGTAAGTAAATTTGTATTAGTTATTTTATTTCAAATATAAAATTACAATCCTATATAACTAAAATTACATATGTAAATTTAGTTGATATGACATGTAAATGCACTGTAATTTTGATAAAAATGTTGTGTAAATAAATTTGTATTAGTTATTTTATTTTGTAGTCCGTTAGATACAAATCCAAGGGAAGAAAAAATCTAGACCCGAGTGATGGATAGGCGGTCCCGAAACGCACATGCACTGGACATACTAGACAGGTAAGCACGGCGTAACGCCGCGCGGTAGCTGTCGTGCACCGTTTTTCTTTTTATACGGTGGCTCAATATCTGTTAAATATTACACATGGTCGCATACGCGGCAACTTGAGCAGGATTATGTGCGCTACGACTACAATTTCATATTTTTGTGTTGGAGAAGGCACTTAGACTGAATGCTAGAATGTGTGTGTATCCAGTGCTATTTTTAGAAGAACCCCTGCGTCTATATACGAAACCTTCTTACGCAATACATAAAGAAAATTAAACCAATAATATTATTGCCCAAGGAACGTCACACACAAGTGTAAATAATACCGAGCAAATATATATCAAAGTTGATATCTGCACTTAGCATTTGAACACGGGGACAAAAAATAGTAATATCCCGATATTCAAGAAAAGAGTAATTCATCCAACATCCAAAACTAAGTATATTAATAGACAAAACATAAATGACAGAGAAACATCTGTAGGCTATTTCTTGTGCAGTAGCTCCACACATCAAGACAGAAAGGATTAACATGTGTAAATCAAATAGCAAAATTCGCTTAACTCGCAAAGTTCTCTACTAAATGCCAAATATATATATATCCTAAACATTTGTATAAAATGACATACAACAATTGAGCAAAAAGTATCAGTGTGAAGTTAAGGTTTAGTGCTCAACTATGACGCTAGCACACTATTTTGTCCTTCTGCAGAGAAAACAATCCCAACCATAGAGATAATTAGATACAATTAGGAAATTTGAAAATACTAAAGACTAACTCCAAAATCCAAATCCAATAACCCCACGGCAATAACACAAGGAAAAGCACTATTTTCGCGGCAATTACCCCGCAGCTCCCAGGGCCCCAACTGCTCGTTCGAGTAATACCGTTGGAGACCTCGACACCAGCGCCATCTCTTCCTGCCACTCACGCTTCACGTCCCTGCTCCTCCTCGCATGTGACCCGACTCACGCACCTACTACCTTGTTCTGGCCTTGTTTAGTTCTAATTTTTTTTCTTCAAACTTTCAACTTTTCCATCATATCAAAACTTTTCTACACACATAAACTTCCAACTTTTCTATCACATCGTTCCAATTTCAACCAAACTTTCAATTTTGACGTGAACTAAACACACCCTCTATTCTTCTATTGATTTCCGAGCCTTACAGAATGTGCTTCATTTAAATCCTCAAATGTGGTCGTAGGAACCTCGTTGGTGCTATGGCAGCATAGCACACATCCGCTCATGCTTGGCGAAGCTGCCTGCAATATGGCTATGTTCGGTTACTGGGGTTAGGAACCCTCTCCCACACGAAAAACAGAGTGGTCCATTAGCACATGATTAATTAAGTATTAAGTAATTTTTTTTTCAAAAATAGATTAATTTGAATTTTTAAGCAACTTTCATATAGAAATTTTTTGCAAAAAATGTACCGTTTAACAGTTTGAAAAGCGTACGCGCGAAAAACAAGAGAGTGGGCTGAAATGAACACAGCGGCACGGCCATGCGTCCATGCCCGACACCGAATGTCTCAATGATGTTCTGCACATCAACCTTAACGATATCGATGCTGCAGGGGGCAAGGTAGGCGTGACGCTCACCGTAGAAGGTAGGCATGGGCAGTATGGTGTGGGTGGACGGACCCCATGTCGAGTACGTACGTAGAAGGAAACCATGATGATGTCCGGGTGGCTGGTTCCTCGATCGTCACCCCTGTGACTGCACCCGGTACGCCAACGTCGCCTCATACCACACCTACGGTCCGTCCCCTTCACTGTCCGGGTCGCACACTCACATTACTCCAGTATCCCGCCATCGCATTTCTCACGTACACCTATCGAACACAACAAAACATAAGACACCAACCAAACAAGAAATATGCATGGCAGCGGAAAAAGGTATGACAACACACAGGAAACAACTCAAGTAGCACTGAAGAAATAAAGAAAGAATATATATTGATGTGAAGAATGTATGGGAAAACAACGAGATGGTCGGACTTAAATAGCAAAAGAAAGAGCCAATAAAGTGAGAGAAAAAATACCACATACTTAAGGAGCAAGGAGGAGCATAAACATTGGAAAGAAGAGAACACATGACAACACACATGAGCAGCATGAGAGCACGCAGCACGCGCATGTCGGCACGAGGCAAGCAGAAGCAGCTAGCTAGATGTGTGCAACATTGTAGCTTGCCATGCATGGACTGTAAGAAGATAAGGAGAGAGAAACAATCCTTAGCTCACAAGCTAAAACAAACGACAAGAACATAATACTGCGTGTACTGTAAGAAATAACGAATCAGGAAGGGGCACGTTAGATATAACCGGCCGTTACCGGCTAAGTAAAACACAACGTAAAATAAAATGGAAAAAATCACCGACACGTACGTGGGCACCATGTGAAGAAAGTTGGCCACCAGTAACATACACCGGATACGTCACCCCAATAGGAAATCAACCGGTCACCAAATCAGTGGAAAACTGTAAAAAAAAATCAGCAGGACACGCGGCAAGCAATGGAAGAGACTAAAAAAATTTCAAAAAACCAGGAAAATCGGAACCTGATCGGTGACTACTAGGTAAGTATTTCGATGCTTCGCCTGGTGGGCCTCGACCATGGTTCATTTTCCAGCAGCAGACCAATAAAAACGATCTAATCCTACCATACAAGTTCAAATCAACAGTTCAAAAGCAATCAAGGTGACGTGGAACAACCACATTGCAGGAAAATCATATTAAATACACTAAGTGGGAATAAACTCTATCGATATAGGATTACGGTTAGGGACGGATTTCATACTCGACAACAAATTGAGGGACCTATAGTGAACTTATTACAAAAGAAGATGACCAAAAATGGCCCAAAGCTTCGGTGGATATTTTTAGGGACTGTTCAGATTGATGTCATTTTCAACCATACTATTTTTTGGCAAAGTCTATGTTTTATTTATTGTTAAATTTGGAAAATATATAAGAAATCCTACCAAAATTTGGTAAGATTTATTTTGGCTACAATCTTAGCATGCTCTTAGTTACTTTTCCTTTTAAATATTTGCTTTATTGATGATTGTATTTTAAAAATTAGGAATTGAGCTATGAAAAATCCGAGCAAATTCTAGAGTGTAATTAACCTCGGAGAATGTAATAAAAATTAAATCCAGCCACGTTTTGTTTAGGAAGTTTTACTTTACAAGCAAATTAATGCAAATTAATGTACACTTCAATATAAATTCTATAAATAATTTATAAATCACCGAAATAAAAATTAAGGTGTGATAAGCAGTCGTAGCAGCAGCCGCAGTAGCTGTGCACACAACCGTTTGGGACCAACCACCGCAAACATATAAAGAAGGAGGCTCTCCTTAGCAAAGCGCGAGTCGTGGCCACCGGGAGCAGCCTAGCAGACGCTAGGACAACATTACCAGTGCAGACCACTCCTCTAACTATAATGGAATACCCCCGTCGTTTGGTGCATGCTGCTCTTTCTCAGGTAGAGGTTATCATGACCTTGAATCGAGGGTTTGCGGACATCACCCAACAGCTGAGAGCGAGTATAATAGTGAGCTATAAGCCTACTATAAATTTAGATGGAGGAGAGATAGTGAAAAATTAAGAGTGTTGGAGCTTATCATAAACTTCAAAACAATTACATTAAATGTATAAGAAAGAGATAGAAAGAAGAGAAAAAAATTATAGCCAACCTTATAGCTAATATATTATATATGTTGACTTTAAAATAAGCTAATAGTAAGAAGTGAGCTGTACTATTAGCTCTGATACAGCTTGATCTCTGAACCGACCAGAAGCAGAACCCACCGAACAGCATGTCCATGAGACCCACACATGGCAGCAGCATACCGATGGCCAGTCGGTGAACATCAGCGCCACCGTACAGAAAAGTCAGGCTAACATGTTGGCCTTTCCAGTCAAAGGGATTCAATCCCTAGCTTGGAGGAGGATCCCCACACTAAGGTAATTTGGATATATATTTCAATGCATTGCATTTAAAAAGAAAAACCTATAAAAATTTGCAAAAGTTAAAAATACCAAAAATATGTGCTTTCCATATTCAGTAAGGCTGTGTTTGCTCCTTCGGGTTGGGAACCATCTCTACCACACAAAAAACGAAACGGTGCATTAGTGCGTGATTAATTAAGTATTAGCAATTTTTTTTCAAAACTGAATTAATTTGATTTTTTAAAGCAACATTCGTATAAAGAATGTTTGCAAAAAATGCACCGTTTATCAATTTGAAAAGCATACGCGCGAAAAACGAGAGATGTGAGTTGGGAAAGCGGGAGAAAGAACTCAGCCTAAGAATGCTCTAGTTCTAATAGTTGAAATAATGAATAGTTTCTCTATTTTGTTTCCTCCAGTGCTTAGTTTATAACTTAGTCTTTGCTTAAGTTTTTGAGTTTGTTGGATAACAATCTTTGTCTTGAACTTGAAACTTGTGGGTTGCACACGCATGATCTATGTCTAAATTGTTACGGGATATGAGATGGTGAAATAGAGACTCTATGATATTTCTCCAAGCGATACTTGAACTCCGGAGTCCTTATTTTCAAAAGAATGAAAAATTTGTAAGTTCCTCAATGATGAAAAATTCCTACCAAAACCATATGATGAGTACAATGAAAAAACCTTTACAAATATGCTACATGTTATTGCATTGAGTTTTTTGAAATTGTTGTGACCCTTGTGAGATTGTTTTCGTACTTTATTAATCAAGGTCACACATGCGCACCCACCATATATGCTTGACCTCTACATTGGAGGTTAGCAAAAAATGTCATACACCCACCATAGTTGTTTTGCCTCTACACTGGGGATTAGCAACATTCCATCTACCAAATAAATGCTCCATTTATGTCAGTAAAAAATGTCTCACATGGTAGTTTGCAAAAGAGATGACTGTGATAGAAGAGGAAAAAAAAGAGGAGATAGAAAATAGAAAATGTTCTCAAGCATTATGAGAAAGAAAAAAAAAAGAAAAAGGAGTGTATGCGCACGATTGTTCTTGAGCAGCATGGGACAAAAAATAGAAGAAGAATAGTCATGTCTCCGATTAGGAATAAAAGAGAGTCTATGACAAGGATTACCACCAAACACTTTCCACCATATAGCCACACAGTTGCACATCTTGATCACATGGTATTTGTGTTCTCCATGGATCCTCTTTTTGATTTTGCAATATATGTGTGATACAGGTATTGCCTCATGTTTTTTTCCACCTTGAGCTCGACATATGATCCTTTTATACGTAGGATGAAAACGAGGCAACATAATGCATTCGTGAGGAATTATACACATTAAGTGATCTGAGAGTACCATTTGAGAAACTTAGATTTTATTTGCAAAATTCTTTATAACCTCCGGAAAGAAAGTTGAACAAAGAATACTCGAGGACTAAGAAAACTATTATAATTCTACTCCACTGGCACTAGAACACTAAACTAAACTTTGAAGAGAGCTTGATTGTTGACGGTCCTTAAATCATAATATCTGACTGTCAATACCTGCATATAATGGAATAAAATATGATATTCAACTTAGTGGTAGGGTTTATTACTAATCATTTCTACTAGTGTTGGTATATATTTGGATGCAGGTGACTACCAAAGTTGAAAGGAAATATACATGAAGAAGGAGGAGAATCAAACTCATATCCAAACTTATGGAGTTTTGGACCCAAAAACCCAATTAAACACCTTCAAATGGGCCTAACCACCATGCCAATGGACTGAGAGCCTCAAAATCAATGTCCATGAGTTCGGCCGAACCCTGACAGAGGCCGCTAGCTCAGGCCCAAGTCCAGTTCGGTAGCAAACCACTCCCCAATGACGATTATGGCCGTTTTCACCGGTGGAAACTGTCATCAGCTAGACACTTGACAAGAGGAGAAGAAATATGCTCTTTGGATGCTATGGAGGATCTCCACACTCCCAAGGCACCTCCACCTATAAATAGAGCTCATCTCCCCCACTTCACCCAGACACCCACACTCAACTTTGAGCTGAATTATAAGAGGCTCTATTGTATATTTTATACATTAGAAATAGGTAGAGGGTGAGGGGAAGCTCTGGAGGAGTGCCCGAAAGTTTGGCGCTCTCTCTGAATTCCACCTCGATGAGTGTAGCTCTCTAGGAGGAATTCTGGAGGAGTAGTGGAGCTGTCGGTACACTCTGCTCAAGGTTCGGAGAAACTTTTTCTATAAAGTAAGCATTCGGGATCCTTTCTTATGTTATTTAATTACTTAGTTCAAGTAAGATATATTTCTATCTTTGCGGGTTCATTGTTGAGTATTCATAGTAAGTGCTCCAGTAATAGGACTCTGGATAAACAAGGAAGTTACTGCACAAGTATTAGAGTAGTAATTAATAACTTAGGCATGATGTCTAGGTTAGAGATTACCTTTGTTTGTTATGTATCCCACGGATTTGTCAGAGGTAGACGGCAGGTGGTGACAGCCCTGAACCCTGTCCTAGTAATCCTCCACGTTCGGGTACATCATAGAGCTATAGCTGGAACCATGCTAGCAGACTAGCAGGGGTCGATGCCCGAAGCAATAGATAGGAAATTACCTTCGACTTACTTTAGATAATTAAAACACATAGAAAGTCCTCTTTAGCCTAGCTAGACTACCAATAGTGGTCCTTGGATAGTCTTAGCCTTAGGTAGATTACACACGTTCCATGAGTTTGATATCCTTTTAGGGTCACCTGAAGGTAAAGTGCTACAGCGGTATTCCGTGCACTTGCGGATTTATCTGTGGTCGTAAGAAATACCAACAATGATCTTCTTCTTGGAGTGCGTGAGGGAGTGAGTGAGGTGACCCTTCTATATAGCTTTTCAATGATGGTTACGACGGTTTGAAATGCCGGAAATGCCCTCCAACCTTCATTGATAATGCATCCTGGACATCCGTGCCAAAGGGGGAGATCAACGGTGCTTGGGGGGGGGGGGGGGGGGTTTCGGCCGAACCCTGGCCTGGCCCAAATGGCCTAG